ACAATATAGGCGTAAACAGGTCATTTCACGTGTATAAAATTTTCGACTGGATCTATTGTTCAAGGCTCTTTTTTTTTTTTGGATAGCGACAGCGAATGCCAGCGGTATTATTTGAACAATTTTGTAAACTTGCGAATGATAATGAAACCAATAATCTTACTAGTAGGCAGGCCCTTAAAATTAGAGGTGTTGATGTCTATTCACATTAATATATAATATTAATATAAATATTTTATCATTATATAAAAAATAAATAAATAAAAAATACAAAAATTAGTGTAAAACATAAGGCGAATTTAAGAATTACACACAGTAATATAATTAATTTGTTTGGGTGCTAAAACTTGATGTCAACTAAAAAGACGTGTATCATTTAAATGTTAATGTCACAAACAAAGACGTGACTTATTGAAATAGCGAAATTTCCTAAGAAGTACCAAGATCTTACAAGAGAAATGCATTTGATAACAGATTTTAGCAAATGTGTCTTGGTAGGCCACAGCGTCAAAAACTCGCGAAATCTATAAGTGCAAGGGTCATCTTGGTTCGTGCAGTTTTGATCTGTCTTAGTGACATCTGGTTCACCATTCAACCGAATTCTCTTGACTATCCCTCTAGTCGTGTTCCTTGAGATTACAAGTGTTCTACACATGTTTCAAAGTAATCTCCAATCTTTAGTTTTAAAAAACTGTTTCTTATTATCTCAACATTATAGTTTCTCACTTAGAATTTAGAGTTCCAGGTTTATTCATGAATTAACTAACCGTTCCAAAAATTATCGAATGTTACTTCTATTTATATGCTTTGGACGTGTATATCTCACATTCATTCATTGTTACGCGACGCGTCATCATATCGCGTACCCACTCTGATTTTACCCACAACAACAGGCAAGAAAGACATGGAAATGCGGATTCCCAGATGGACAGAGGGAACGCCTTGACCTTTTATTACTTGCCAGATCGTGCATTATTTCACGTAATTTTATTAAACGTTTTGTTAAAAAGTTCTGGAATTCGATTACAAAATGCATATAATCACATACTGTATCTGCTCGCGAAGGTGTCATAAATCACGCGTCTATCATTTTTGATGTACTGCAATTACGCGTTCTTTCTTCTCAGTAAGCTTTAATGTTATAAATTCACGCGTTCTCATAAATTTCTTCGTTTTTTGCAAAGCTTTCAACCATACATTTACTTTTCATGGTTCCGCTGATAGTGTCTGCATAAATTTTATATCTTTACTGATTTTACATTGTATGCTAGGTTCTTGTCATT